GCGCGCGTTGATTGTATGATTCTGTAACGGTACGTGTAGCGGTATGCGTGCGTTGATTGTATGATTCTGTAACGGTACGCGTAGCGGTATGCGCGCGTTGATTGTATGATTCTGTAACGGTACGTGTAGCGGTATGCGCGCGTTGATTGTATGATTCTGTAACGGTACGTGTAGCGGTATGCGCGCGTTGATTGTATGATTCTGTAACAGTACGTGTAGCGGTATGCGCGCGTTGATTGTATGATTCTGTAACAATACGTGTGACGGTACGCGCGCGCGAAAGACCGTACGAGTGCGTCGGTTGCTGATGCTGATATTGATTGTTGGTGTTGTTCATTGATATTGATATTGATTTTGACGTTGATTGTCGGGTGTGGATATTGACTATCGAGGTGTCGGTGGTGTATGACAATACATGTTAGCGCCTTGACATTACCCCCATCGTTTCCCTGGTTTCTTTTGCGCGTGACAGCGGCGCGGCGTGATCATACAAAAAACGAGTATGCACGACTACACGTTGACAATAGCACGCGCCTACAATGTTGAACAGCGATATGTTCTTAACTGCAGATCTTGCGAAACCTCAACCTTCACGTCGCCGCATGCCAGTCCGTGGCGCTGGTCGGACCTAGCGGAAGCGGAAAGAGCACCATAGCGCAGCTAATGCAGCGCCTCTACGACCCCAGCGGCGGCTCCGTACGTATGATGATGTCACGTCCAACATGGCGGGGATTTTTATCGCTGTCATTCGTGAGAAATCCTCGTGATAGACGCTTTAGTTTTCAGCGATTCGTAGAACGAATACCACATGCGCATGCTTACGCATATGTGGGCCGATACGTCAGGAGTACACGGCAACGCATATCGATGGTTGAAGACTAATAGTCTAGGACGAAAGTCCAGACTCATAACATATACACAATAGGATAATTACGGATACAAACAAATTTCCATGGCAGAAACATAAAACATACACAACGAATTTATTATAGATGCATGACAATTTCATGAAAGATACATAACAGATAAACAACAGAAACATAACAGTTCGATTACACAAACATAGCAGATTCATAAAAGATACAGAATAGATTAGTAACATATACATAACAGATGATTTACACAATCATATCAGACTAATAAGAGTGTCATAATAAAAAGACTATATCATGACAACACCTATACATAACAGTCTTCTCACAGCGTAATACTGTACTAGCGTTACATGGCGTTACATTTACATAGCGCAACTCTAGCGTGATGCGTTTGACTCATGCCCTTGTCATCATCGCCAATGTCTGACGCAGGCATACACGTGCGCAGACTTGCTAGACTGATGCTTGCACTTGACATGCGCGCAGGTAGCGTTGGATGGCTGCGACATAAAGAAGTTGAACCTGCGCTGGTATCGCGACAACATCGGTGTCGTCAGCCAGGAGCCGGTGCTGTTCGCGACGACCATCGGGGAGAACATACGTTACGGCATGGAGGGAGTCAGCGACGAAGACATACGTCACGCCGCAGCGAGAGCCAACGCTCACGGGTTCATCTCAGCGCTCCCAAACGTACGAGCACGCGGTAGAGTAGCTAGCGGCGTGGGGGAGCAACGAACGACGGTTAGGAGGGGTTAGAATAGAGATGAATGATGCAAGCGAGATGGCATCTAATGAGGGGGAATAGTTCATAGTATTTCAACGGTCAGCGACTCACATTAAACGACTTCGCTTTACTATTTTTATTCGACTTTCAAGTTCTTGAATGAAGTCGGCATTCATTTAAATTGACTACGTCACGAATTTTCTATGGTAAAATTTGTGAAATTTTTGTTGCCTTTTTTTACATTAAAAGTAAGAACAAAATCCAAAAAACCTGGACGATTTGATATTAGTGTTCCTGACATTAATTGCTTGCTATGGGCTATGTATGAGTCACGAGTGTATGTTTACATCGAACAATAATTATAGTAAAATAAGAAGTATAATGCAGCAATTTAACCATAAAAAGTGAACAGAATTACTTATATTTTGTGAAAAAGTGGAAATATATTTTTTATTTTTTACTATTTACGGTGACGTAATCACTTTAATGTAAATTTTCTCTCTAAATGAGGAAGTTCAATGTTAGGTGCGACCAGGAGTTCTATGAGATTAGTCGCAATACGTCGGCGTTGACCGGGAGTTTTACGGCATAAGTCGCAGTATGTCCGGGTCGCTGATGCTCTATCTTACTGTTATAGCACTGGTATATCACTACCACACGCTGCTCACTGTTATAGCAATACCACACGTTGGTGGGCGACGGTGGCGCACAACTGAGCGGCGGCCAGAAGCAGCGTATTGCCATCGCGCGCGCCCTGGTGAGAAACCCGAAAATACTGATCCTGGACGAGGCGACGTCATCACTGGATAACGAGAGTGAGGCGCTCGTACAGGCCGCCTTGGACCTGGTGAGTTATATATGATTAAACATACACCCATACACGCGCACACACACGCGCACACACACACACACACACAACGCACAACGCACACGCACACGCACACGCACACGCACACGCACACGCAACACACAGCACACACGCACACACATACACACACATACCACACCGCCACACACACCACACCGCGCGCGCACACACGCCAAACACATCGAACACAATAACAAAGCGCTGCGCACAGCACCACGCAACATCACGCACACAATACACGCCAACGTTCGCTGCGCGCAGCACACACACACCACAACACAACGCGCGCGGACGCGCACCACACAGCTGCGCGCGCACACACGCACACATTCACACACATAGCACACACCACACACAAACACAAATCACACACACCACACACACACACACAGACACACACACACACACCACACACACGGACACACACCACACACACACCACACACACACACATATATATATATAATATAGTATATATACCGCTGCCAGCGTTACAAACAAACACACCATTATTACAATGACACTAATAATGACATATAACTCTATAACCATATAATATTCATATATCATATATCTAGGGCGAGCCAGGACAGGACGACCCTCGTTATCGCTCATCGTCTATCCACCGTCAAGAAAGCCCAACAAGATAGTCGTCATCCGAGATGGCAGCCTTGTCCGGGATGGGCAACCACCAGAGACTGATGGCATCCTTCTGGTCTCTACTCGAAACTGGTCGGTACTCGCAGGTGACTAATCACACACAGAACTAGCTCGTGCTACGTGTGTCAAGAAGCTCGCCGGTATAATGTACGCGATGGGACGCCGACTATTCTATACTATATACTATATATAATAATATATATAATATAGACTAAATATATAAAAAGAGAGCAGAAGAGAGACGAGAGAGCAGAGAGCGAGAGAGAGAGCAGAGAGAGAGAGAGATAGTGAGGAGACTATGCTCTCCCATAGTATGGCTGCTAAATTGCGTCTAGCCGTGATATGCAGACCAGCTCGCGTGTATATATGTGTTAGCACAACCAGTAGAGGGCTTCTATAGGGCAGCAAGCCTGAATAAGCACGACAGAAACCATTTAATTAAAAAACACTCAGGAGTTTGTCGCATCACCAACATACACGTTTATGTCCATGCCTAAAATAACCACAGAGTATAATATTATTATGCTCGGCTCGAAACTGTTGCACCTAAAATGATGCACACTTGCTAACAAAGTAGGTCGGATCACTGCTTTCAAACACAAAAATGCAGCGCAGCGATCACCATAGGCTAACGCCAGTTGACGAATGCCGATGTTTAATGTGTTATAAATGCTTTAAAAAGCAACTTATTTCGAATGGCATTCCAAGCACGTTCAAGAGGCGATACTACCTTCGCGTACGATAATCAAAATTAGTGGCACTCTAGCTTTTGGAAACCTTACCGGCAACAAAATTCAAAAATGGAAACCTATTTCCATAGGACGAAATTTTCATGGGCGGTGAACAATTGGCGGTCAAAGGCCTACTATTGTCATGCCAACTTATAGCTTTGATCACAACACACCTGCCATGTGAAATTCCTTCGCATGAATCAAGCTCTAATTTTTCCGCAATCATGTTAGCGCTATACTTGTTTTCTTTGTTCTCCTCTTTCAAGCAGCCGTCGGAATCGATTGTTGCGGCAGGTCTGGTTTTTTGCTATTGATTGGTAGCCAAGCTACTTCGGTTAACTCAAAATGCACTCTCTTTTAGCTTTGTGAGGCGATTTTGGCTCTCGCGCATGAAAACAGGCGATATGTCGTCATTCGCGACCGGGTGGAGAGTGTGAGAAGGCAAAGGGGGAGGCCAGAGCATGCGTGTGCGCAGCATTGCGAGGGCGTTTCCAGCGCGGAAAAGACGCGTTGCCAGTGGAGAGGGTTGTTAAGCTACAGGCCGAATAGCTAAGTTGGAGGGGTTGCTACTGAGCAGGGGGTGTAGCGGAAAGGGTTGCTTCAGGGTACGTGTGGCGCTGCTGGGTGGCCAATGGTGCCCAGCGCGGAGGTGTTGCCCTAGAGGCAGGAAGTTGTTAGAGGACAGTGTTGTTGTTAACATGTGGCTAGAGGCGAAGGAGTCACTACTCTTCCCCGCACGAAATAGACAGTAGGCAGAGAATGTCCGCAGAAACACAATACAATACAGTAAAATCCGCGCCTATAAGAACTACAGTATTAAGAACTTGTTAGACTAAGATTTCCAACTTTAGAGCCCCCTTGACATAAAAACGCTGTTTTAGCCTTAAAAATTTGAAACACGGTTCTTATTTTATAAATTTATAAACACAAGATAAGCTCAGAATAGGGTTTGATTTGTATAGATTGCATCATCTAGACATAATTATATGCATATGTTTAAATAAACAATTGGACCGCACCAATATTCTACAGCAACAAGCACCTTTTTATCTAAAGAAAATAAGAACACATTTAAGAACCTAAACAGCCTAATTTCTCAGTAAACCCCAATTAATAAGAACCTTTTCAGCGTTAAAACTGGCAAAATGCAGGTTCTGTACATAGAGCCGGTTTTTACTGTAGTAACATTTGCTTACCATTATACAACAATAACCTACGAGCCCAATATTAAAAATACATAAGCAGCAATATAATCGCAGCCATGTAAGATTTGGTCTAAAATACGGAGAACGTATCATGCAGTGTCCACATGCCTGCAACGCGCCTATGCTAACCTCCATCTTAATTATAGGCAAAGCATACAGACAATGAGATGACGACAGCATGTTATTGGGGCTAAGTGCGGTTCGTGGTAGATATCCTACGTCAAGGACATCTCCATATTAAGAACTAGGTCGAATGGGAAATATAAAGTTATATATTTCTATCTATCTATCTACTACTACATATCTATTATCTATCTATTCTATCTATCATATCTCATCTATCTATCCTATCTACTATCTTATCTATTATCTATCTATTGCTATCTAATCTATCTATCTATCTACTCTATCTATCTATCTTATCTATCTCATCTATCATGCTACATCTATCTATCCTAATCTATTATCTATCTATCTATCTATCTATCTATCTATCCTATGTATTATCTCAATCTCTATCTATACTATTTCTATCTATCTATCTAATCTATATCTTATCATTTATCCATATCCATCATTCCATCCATCCTTCCATCGCCATCCTCCATCCATCCATCACTATCCATCTCCATCCCATCGCACCATCCATCCATTCCATCCATCCATCCCATACCATCCAGCGCTATCCATCCATCCATCCACATCCATCCATCCATCCATCCATCCATCCATCCATCCATCCATCCATCCGATTCCATCCATCCATCCATCCATCCATCCATCCATCCATTCCATCTACTCATCCATCCTATCCATCCTTATCCATCCATCCATCCATCCATCCATCCATCCATCCATCCAATCCATTCCATCTCATCCCATCCTCCATCCATCCATCCATCCATCCATCCAGCCATCCATCCATCCATCCATCCATCATCCATCCATCCATTCCATTCATTCATCCATCCATCCATACATCCATCCATCCTATCCATCCTATCCATCCTTCATCCATCGCTATCTATTCCTATCCAACTCCATCATCCACCATCCATCCACCATCCATCCATCCATCATCCATCCATTCATCCTATCCATCCTATCCATCCTATCTATCCTATCCATCCATCCATCCATCCATCCAATCGCATCCATCCATTCCATCCATCCATCCTATCCATTGCCTATCCATCTCTATCCATGCCTATCGTATCTTATCCATCCATCCATCCATCCATCCATCCATCCATCCATCCATCGCATCCATCCATCCATCCATCCAATCCATTCCATCCATCCATCCATCCATCCCATCCATCCATCCATCATCCATCCATCATCCATCCATCCATCCATCCATCCATCCATCCAATCCATCCATCCCATTCCATCCATCCATCCATCCCATCCAGTCCATCCATCCATCCATCCATCCATCCATCCATCCATCCATCCATCATCCATCCATCCGTATCCATCCTATCTATCCTATCCATCATCCATCCATCCATCCTATCCATCCTATCCATCCTATCCAGTCCATCATCCATCCATCCATCCATCCTATCCAGGCCATATCCCTCCGTATCCATCTATCCATCTATCCATCCATATAATCTGATCTAACTAGCTATATATATGTATACAGTAATATTCTATTTCGCATTCGCTATGTTATGACAGTATTTCTGATCACCTGGACGTGACAATGGCGCATACTTAACGAAATGGACGCTTACAGGCCATAATCTCATTCTCCTATAGCAAACACAAGCACGCAGTATTAGCAGGCTCATCCAGATTGGCCTCGCACAAATCAACACACGGATGTCTGCCTGTCAATCAGTATCCGAATCGAAGAGCAGATGAGACGTGAGCTGTGTGTGTTACGGTGGAGTCGTGCCTGCGTGGTGCTCGTGCGTGTAATGTATGTGTGTGTCGTGCGTTTGTCTTGTTTGGTTGTGTGTGTGTGTTGTGTGTGTGATGTGTGTGTTTGTGTCTGTGTGTGTGTTGTGGTGTGCTGTGTGTGCTGCTGTGTGTGTGTTGTGTGTGAGGGGCGGTGTACAGTCGTGACGTGATGAGTATGTGTGTGTGCGTGCGCGCATTGTGCCGTGCGCTGTCCGTGCGCGCCCCGTGCGTGCGTGCGTGCGTGCATGGTGCCCTGCTCTGCTGCTGTGTGTGTGTTGTGGTGTGTGGCGGCCGTGTGTGTGTGTGTATGCTGTGTGTGTATGTAAATGTGTTGGCGTGTTGCGTGTGTAGTGCTTGTGTGTGTGGGACCGCCGTGTGTGTTGCTGTGTGTTGATTCTGCTGTATGTGCGCTGGCGTGTGCGTGCGTGTGTGTGTGTGTGTGCGTGTGACATGTGCGGATTGCTGTGTGTGTTGTGTGTGAGTGCCCCGCGCCGCGCGGCGGCGGGTCTGCGTCCAATTTGGCATCGATGTACACTACTACCTCTCCTCGTCTCTTTCTCACTCGCAGTGTGGAGGAGGGAGGATGAGGAGGAGGAGGAACATGGAGGAGCTACCTCCCGCGGACATATGTGGCGCCTGTTATGAAGATGAATACTTCCTGAAGTGGTCTGCATGCCAATCGATCGCGTCTTGATCGCCTAGGCAGCGGCAAACGGCTTCTGTAATGCCACGCGTTTTTGCCATTCATTTTCTCCTCAAAGTGGTCGAGTGATTTATGCTTGCACGTGCATGTGCTGTGTGTGGCGTGTGTGCGTCGTGCGTGGCGTGGCTGTGGTGCGTGCGCCCGTCTGCTGCGCTGTGTGTACGTGCGTGTGACCGTGATGTGTGTTTGTTGAGTTTGTGTGCGCTTGTATTTGTGTGGGGCGCGGCGCGCGCGCCGCAGCCGTGTGTGTGTTGCTGTGTGTGTATGTGTGTGTGTGTGTGTATGCTGTGCTGTGTGGTGTGTACGGTGTGATGTGTCGGGGGCCTGTGAGAAAGGCAAGAGACAAGAGACAGAGAGGAGGAGGAGTGTGTGTCTGTAGCTGGCTGCTTAGCCTGCGCTGTTGTATGCTTGCTTGCTGCTGCTGCTGCTGTTGTTGATGCTGCTGCTGTTGTTGCTGTTGCTACTGCTGGTAGTGGTGGTGGTGGCGGCTGCAGCGGTGGCGGCGGCGGCGGCGGCGGTGGTGGTGGTGGTTGTGCTGCTGCTGCTGCTGCTGCCGGTGGTGGTTGTTGTGCTGCTGCTGCTGCTGCCGGTGGTGGTGGTTGTGCTGCTGCTGCTTGTGGTGGTGGTGGTGGCGGCGGCGGCGCTGGCGGTGGGGGGGGGGGGGGTACTACTACTACTACTGCTGCTGCTGCTCCTTCTCCTCCGTTTCCTCCGCCTGCTGTTGCTGCTGCTCCCAATTCGGATACCGTCGAATTGGGTTAGCTCGCATGATTCTATTAGTGCATTAATTTCTCTCTCACTGCCGCTGCGTGTGTCGTCGTTGTCACAGATGCTCTCTTACCATGATCAGCGTCGGCTCGCCTTTCTTCTCTCACCCACTAACAGGTGTTTCAGTTTCCCGAGGAGAAGCAGGCGATGCTAGTGAGCAAATACGCCGTCGGATTTGTTTTACTCGGGACCGGCTGCCTCGTAACGCAGTTCCTACAGGTAACGTATCGTTTGACGTCATTGCATGGATAATGCAGGGCGGAGGGGAGGGGGGAATGCCCCGCGGTGACTGAGTGGTTGACATGTAGAGTATGTCATAGACGGAGCTGTTGTAAAAACAAGGGTTATTTCTGGCTGATGCTCATCCACGGCAGCGTGTTGACAGCACAGCCGCGGCAATGCGCAGATCAGACACAACAGTACTGTTGTGTCACAACAACTGTTGTGTCGTTTGCACGCGTAACCGTTCTCTTAACGGTCGAGGCAGCGCGGACACGCTTCAAGCGTGTGATAGCGACTCGATCTCGGCGCTTGAAGCGGTCTCGCTTGTTACTGGCGTTTTAATGACGTGAATATGACGTTATTATGACGAAAAATTACCTAAAATGACGTTAGTTTGACGTTATAAATTTAATGACGTTGTTTCTGACGTTCTAATAAAGAATTCCTCATCCGCGTGACAGACTCTCACCCGTCGCAAGGGATGGGTACGAACCATAGAAATAATATAAATAGATATAGGTTATCTATATTATTTCTAAGGTACGAACATCCAATTACGCCCCCGTCGCATTCATAAGTCAACTATAGATTGCGGATACTTAATATCGGCGCTGGATAAAGCATGGACCCTTTTGTCTGCTTTCACTTCATATTACCAATATTATATCGCTCAACTATATCTAGCTCATCCCGCGAGCGGGTACGTTGACCCACCGTCGTTAGTTGTCCAGCTGAGAGTGTGTGTGTCATTTATTCAGCAATACATAGACGTGTAATATGCTGATGAAATATAAATCTGTCTGCTCTAGGCTACGATGTTTGGCTACTCCGGAGCGCTACTGACGATGAGGGTTCGACAGCAGCTATTCCACGCAGTACTCGGTCAGGTACCCCTACATATGAATCACAATATATCATGCTGTCGTTCAGCATACCTTATGAGTATATCAAGTGAGGAATATCTCCCGATTAAAGCCCGCTTGTTGTTATGTACGTGGTTATGAATGTACCGAAGGGGAATTAAGTTGAATTCGGTCAAGTATGCCTGCATATGCGTGGTATGTATATATGTCTGGTACATATGCCTGGCATGTATGTATACCTGCAGGAGCGTATAATGACAAATATATCATTATATAATATGTAATAATATTCATGACAAATTTGTCATTATACGCTTCTGATACCTGGTATAATGAAATATTACCCGAATCGAGTTCACGTCAGTTTGGAGTGATAGAAGAATACATCCCGCTTGCCGCATGTGCATCGAACAGTACAAACATCACAGCGAAATGACGCGTATACTTATTACGAGAGGTGTTAATGTGCAGATAATTACCTATATTATCTGTGCTTTTAGGAAATAGCCTGGTTCGATGATCACAAGAACAGCGTCGGTAAGCTGACAACGCGATTAGCGGTCGATGCATCCAACGTACAAGGGGTGAGTGACGGATGTATATATATATATATATATATATATATATATATGTATACATCCGATCTATGCTATGGCTATCTTATCTTATCCTATCTATTCTATTTTAATTGCTATCCTATCTATCTATCATCTATCTATCTATCTATCTAATCTATCTATCTATTATATTATCTATCTTCTATTCTATCTATCTATCTATTATCTATCTATTTCGATCTATCTATCACTATCTTTTATATCTTCATCTATCTGCATCTTCTATCCATATTTATCATTTATGCGCATTTCCACCATCATCCATCCATCCATCCATCCATTCCATCCATCCATCCATCCATCCATCTATCGCATCCATCCCATCCTATCCATCATCCATCCATCCATCATCCTCCATCCATCCATCCATCTATCCTATCATCATCCATCCATCCATCCATGCCATCCTAAGTCATCCTATCCCATCCTATCCATCCTATCCATCCTATCGATCCTATCCAGCTAAGTCATATCCATCCTATCCATCAATATGCCATGCCTCAATCCATCCTATCCATCTATCCACCAAGTCCATCCATCCTTCCATCCATTGCCATCCATCCATCCATGCCATCCATCCATGCCATCCATCCATACGCATCCATACCTATACCTATCCTATCTATGCCATCCATCCATCCATCCATCCATCCATCCATCCATCACCATCCCATCCATTACCATCCATCCATCCATCCATCCAACCATCATCCATCGCATCCATCCTCCATCCATACCATCATCCATTCATCCAGCCCATCCATCCATCCACATCCATCCATCCATCCTCCCATTCCAGCCATTTCCATCGCATCTCATCCATGCCCATCTATCCCATCATCTTATTCCTTCGCATCCATCCATCCATCATCCTCCATCCATCCATGCCATCCATTCTATCCTATCCATCCATCCATCCAACTCCATCCATCCTATCCTGCATCCATCCTACCCATCCATATCCAATCCATCGCTATCCATCCATCCATCCATCCATCCATCCATCCATCCATCCATCCCATCCTCACCATCCTGCCATCCATCCATCCATCCATCCTATCGCATCCTATTCCATCATCCATCCATCTTACCAATCCATCCATCCATCCATCCATCCATCCATCCATCCATCCATCCATCCTTAATCCATCCATCGCCATCCATCCATCCGCATCCTATCTATCCTTCACATGCTCCATACCATCCATCATCCAAGTCCATCAATCCATGCCAATCCATCCATCTATTCCTATCCATGCCTATCCTCTATCTAATCCTATCCAATTCCATCCACATCCATCCATCCATCTCATCCATCCATGCCATCCATCCATTATCCATTCCTATCCATCTAATCCAATCTAATCATTCCCTATACAGTCCTATCCATCGCATCCATCCATCACATCCAATCCATCCAATCCATCCATCCATCCATCCATCCATGCCATCCATCCCATCTCCATCCGATCTATCCATCCTATCTATCTATCCATCCATCCATCCATCCATCCTATCCCATCCTATCCCATCCATATCCATCCATCCCATCCATCTCCATCGCATCATGCCATGCCATCCTATCCATCCATCCATCCTATCCAGCTTATCCCTGCGCTATCCATGCTATCCATCTATCCAATCCAGTATTCCTATCTATCTAGCTATTTATATGTATACATATTTATCTTATTCGAGTCGCTTTATGTTATTGACGGTATTTCTATCACTGGACTTGACAATGGCCGCATACTTAACGAGATATGACGTTAGCAGGCAGTATGCTCATTCTCCTATAGCAAACAAAGTCACGCGAAGTATTACAGGTCATTCCAGACCCTTGGCCTCGCACAAATCACACACGATGTCTGTGTCATCAGCTATCCGAATCGAAGTAGCAGATAGGAGCTGTGTGTGTACGTGCGTGCGTGCGTGCGTGCGCTGCGTGTATGTATGTGTGGTGTGTGCTGCGTTTGTTTGTTTGTGGTGTGGTGTGTGTTGGTGTGTGTGGTTTGTTTGTGTGTGTGTGTGTGTGTGTGTCCTATGTGTTGTGTGTGTGTGTGTGTGTGTGTGTGTGTGTGAGTGGGTGTACGTGTGCGTGTGTACGTATGTGTTGTGTGGCTGTGCGGTGTGCGTGCGCTGTGTGCGCGCCCAGTGCGTGCGTGCGTGCGTGCATGGTGTGTTGTGTGTGGGTGCTGTTGTGCTGTATGTGTGTGTGTATGTGCTGTGTGTATTACTGTGTGCCGTGTGGCTAGGTGTGTGTGTGTGTGTGTGTGTGTGTTTGTGTGTGTGTGTGTGTTTTCTGTGTATGTGCGTGCGTGTGCGTGCGTGTGTTGTTGCTGTGTGTGTCGTGTGTGTGTGTGTGTGTGTGTGTGAGGCCCAGCGCGCGCGCGCGTGTGTCTGCGTCACACACTTGGCGATGATGACACTACTACCTCCCTGTCTCTTGTTCACGTCGCAGGTGGAGGAGAGGATTGAGGAGGAGAGAGGAACATGAGGACGCTACCTCCCAGCCGACATTGTGGCGCCTGATGAAGATGAATTTCCTGAGTGGTACTGCATGATCATCGGTCCTGATGCGCGTGCAAGCGGCAAAGCTGTTTGTAATGCCCTGGTTTCGCCATCATTTTCTCCAAAGTGGTTCGAAGTATTGATGTTGCACGTGGCATGTGTGTGTGTGCTGTGTGGCGTGTGTGCGTGCGTGTGCGTGCGCGCGCCGTGTGCGACTCGTGTGTGTGAGCGTGTGCCGTGTGACTCGTGTGTGGTGTGTTTGTGTGAAGTTTGTGTGCGTGTATTTGTATGTGCTGCCGCGCGCGCGCGTGGTGTATGTGTGTGTGTGTGGTTGTGTTGTGTGTGTGTGTGTGTGTATGTGTTCGGGTGTGAGAAGATGGGAAGAGACAGAGACAGAGAGAGAAGAGTTTTGTCTGTAGGCTGCGAGAGAGAGAGAGAGAGAGAGAGAGAGAGAGAGAGATACGTGCGTCTCCCATAGATGGTGCTAAATTGCGTCTACGTGTATATGCAGACAGCTACGCGTGTATATATGTGTAGCACAACAGTAGAGGGCTTCTATAGGCAGCAAGCCTGAATAAGCATCGAACAGAAACTTTAATTAAAAACACTCAGGGAGTTTTGTCGCATACACAACATACACTTTATTCATGCTAAATAACCACAGAGTAAATATTTATACTCGGCTCGAAACCTTTGCCACCTAAATGATGCACACTTCTACAAAGTAGTCGGATCCTGTTTCAAACACAAAAATGGCCGACCGATCACCATGGCTACGCCAGTTGACGGAATGCCGATGTTTAATGTGTTATTAATGCTTTAAAACAACTTATTTCTAATGCATTCCAGACGTTCAAGAGGCATCTACCTTGCGTACATAATGCAAATTAGTGCACTCTAGTTTGAAACCTTACCGCAACAAAATTCAAAAAGGAAACCTTTTCCATAGACGAAATTATCATGCGGTGAACAATTGGCGGAAGGCTACTATTGCATGCCACTTATAGCTTGATCACAACACACCTGCCATGTGAATATCCTCGCATGAATCAAGCTGTAATTTTTCCGCAATCATGTTACGCTATACTTGTTTTTTTTGTTCTCTCTTTCAAGCAGCCGTCGGAATCGATTGTTGGGCAGGTCTGGTTTTTTTGCTATTTGTAGAGCTACTTCGGTTAACTCAAAATGCACTCTCTTTTACTTTGTGAGCTGATTTGGCTCTCGCGCATGAAAACAAGACGATATGTCGTCATCGACCGGGGTGGAGAGTGTGAGAAGCAAAGAGGGGGAGGCAGAGCATGGGTGCGCCAGCATGGTAGGGGTTTCCAGCGGGAAAAGACCGAGTTGCCAGTGAGAGGGGTTGTTAAAGTGACAGGGATAGCTAGTTGGAGGGGTTGCTATGAGAGGGGGTGTTAGCGGAAAGGGTTGCTTGCAGGTAGTGTGGGCTGCTGGGTGGAGATGGTGCCCAGCGGGAGGTGTTGCTAGAGGGAGGAAGTTGTTAGAGGGACAGTGTTGTTAGTTAACATGTGCTAGAGGGAAGGAGGTCACTACCTTCCCCGCACCAATCGACAGTAGCAAGAATGTTCGCAGCAACACATACAATACAGTAAAATCCCGCGTATAAGAACCTAGTGATTAAGAACTTGTTAGACTAAGATTTTCCATTTAGACCCCCTTGACATAAAAACCTGTTTTAGCTTAAAATTTGAAACAGGTTCTTATTTTATAAAATTTAAAACACAAGATAACCTAGAATAGGGTTTGTATTTGTATAGATTGCAGTCATCTAGACATAATTATATGCATATTTTAAATAAACAATGGACCGCACCAATATTCTACCAGCAACAAGCACCTTTTTATCTTAAGAAAATAAGAACACATTTAAGAACCTAAACAGCCTAATTTCTCAGTAAACCCCAATTATATAAGAACCTTTTCAGGTTAACGTGGCAAAATGCAGGTTCTTGTACATACGAGGGTTTTTACTGTAGTACATTTGTTACCATTATACAACAATAACCTACAGCAATATAAAAATACATAAGCACAATATAATGCACCAATTGTAAGATTTGTCTTAAAATACGGAGAACGTATATGCAGTGTCCACATGCCTGCCAACGCGCTATGCTAACCTGCATCTTAATTATAGGCAAAAGATACAGACAATGAAGATGACGACCATGTTATTGGGGGTAAGTGCGGTTCGTGGTAGATATCCTACGTCAAGAATCTCCATATAAGAACTAGGTCGATGGGAATAGTAAAGTTATATATGTCTATCTATCTATCTATCTATCTATCTATCTATCTATCTATCTATCTATCTATCTATCTATCTATCTATCTATCTATCTATCTATCTATCTATCTAATCTATGCTATGGCTATCTTTCATCTTATCTACTATCTATTACTATCTATCTATCTATCTTCTATCACTATTACTATCTT